TTGGCCCAACACCAAGATTCAGAGGCCTGTAAATTAAGCATCACTGACACGGTGCTGCTTTGTTGTGGGCCCTAATCTGTGGAACACAGGAGAGCAAATCAGGTTGCGTCTATATATGGGAATGTAAACCAAGTGTGTTGAATCACCTCCAGCGTGAAGCCTATGAGTATCAGTGAACTCAAGGTGGGGCTTCCAGTGGTACTGTAGCTGAATATGATTGGTTTTAGTTTACATAAAAGATACATGCTTATAATTAATATATCCAAAAGCATATATCCACCCCAAAATTATTAGTCTGATTTATACTACAAATCATTATTCTCCCTTAAGAAGTGACCCAATCTCTTGCAGTATGTGCTCAAATTATTTATTGGTTTGAGCTCATTCTGCCTAACACTGAAGCCTCTAAAAAAAGTAAAATAATAATAATAATAATAAATAAAAAGTAAAAAGTGTGAAATAATCACTGATCAAATCTGGGATCATTTTCTTGGTTGCACTGTTCTGCCCAATGGCCTGAAATAAGTGATATATCTGTATGGTTTTTTAAAATATTTACTTAATTACGGGGGGGAGGTCCATTTATAAGTTAGAGAACAGTCAGGAATCTCATGTCTGCCTCTTAGGAATAAATTTTTCACATAGGGCTCTAAACTGTCTAAAAAAAATAATTTACGAACCATGGCCAGACTTGAAAATATTCTGTAGATGTTATATATCTTGGAGGAAAGTCAGTGAGCCAGAATACATTATCAAGTGGCCATGGTGAGAATGTGATGATATGTGTCACATTTGCAGCCACTTCAAAAATATGAGATGTATGCTATTTTGTAGGGAGCTGTCTGGTCTGGTGATTATCACAGCATGGATGTGCCTGTGCCACAGCTCATCAAAGTAAGTATTCAACTACTCACTAGTTAAAATCAGATGTCCTCAAGTTGATAAAACCAGATAGTAAATAAAAATATTGTCACACAAATAAAAACAGGAATCTTTTGAAAGAAAATTTTCCTTTACCAAAGCGGAGCTAGTAATACTTGATTCAAGGTTTCATGATCACTCCTATGTTCAGTGATACCATAGTTTCCTATGTGGCCTAGTGTAGTCAGAGGCAGTTGCCAGCCTAATGTGTGTTCTTCAGGGTGAAGGAAAATGATCTCAGGAGGAAGCTTGGAGGTCCAGAAAGAGTAAAGAAAAAAGAAAATACAAATGTCTGGGTACCTATAAATGAATATTAACTTATAAATTAATGATGATGTCTTATGGGGTTTAAACATATAAAGAATAAAATACATGACAACAGTAGCATATAAATTGGAAGGGGACGAATAGAGTCAAAGTGTTCTAAGGTCCTTGAACTGTCTGGGAAGAAACAAAAGGACCAATTTATATTAGACTTGGATAAGTCAAGGATTCATGTTGTGATCCTTAGGAGACAGGAAAAGTGAGGTGGGAAAAATGAACAAATGGGACAAATACGAAGCATATTTTAAGATAGAAATCTAAACCCACATATATCAAAAATTGCATTAAATGTAAATGTACCAAATATTCCAGTTAAGAGTCAAAGATTTTCAAAGTGTATAAAAATATTAAAAACCCAACTCTACACTGCTTACAAATGACTGAAAGTCAAAAAATTTTTAAAAATTACTATATAAACACCAACAAAATGAAAGCCAGTATAGCAATTTTAATAACAAAATAGACTTTAAGACAATTAGTAGAGAAAAAGGAGGGCTTTCTTGTGATTTTTTAAAACTTTTTTATTTTAATTTTTTATTTTGAAAATTTTCAAACATATACAAAAGCAGAGACTAATATAATGAATAAGATGTATCCATCACTCACCTTCAACAGTTATCAATATATGTCCAATCTTGTTTCATCCATACCACTATCCACTCTATACTGCCAGACTATTTTGAAATAAATCCCAGACTTTATATTGTTTCCTCTATAAATATTTCAGTATGTATCTCTAAAAGATAAGGTCTGGTGCTGGTGGACTTAGAACTGAAATGTCTCTCCACCTCTCAGTTCTACCGTCCACTGCACGGACTTCATTCCTGGGCTCCATGTGGCAGCCCTGCTGCTCCCAGTTCATATCTTCACAATGCTAAGTCCAGCAGAATGTAGACTCTGCTTCCCTGAAAGCTCCACCATCAACCATACAAAAAATAAAAGAACAATTCTCTGAATTATGCATTTTCCAATCAATGTTTAGATTTCCCCATTTTTCTTATAAACATTTATCCCCCTGTGCCTTATATTTCCTATAAATTGGTGGTTAGATCTACAGGCTTGACCAGAATCTATTATTATTGCTCAAGACTACTTCACGAGACTGCTATGTACTTCCACCATAATATACCTAACACCTAAGCTGTTTCTCTGTGATGTTAATAGTCTTTGATGATCACTGCCTAAACCCAATAATTCATTTGAGTTGCAAAATCGTGATATTGTAATTATATCATTACTTGCTTATTAGGTAGAAAACTTCTATAAAGTGAAACTTCTGCTTATCGAATCTTTTCCTCCTCCGAGGTACTGATTGTAAGGGGGAAAGGAAAAGAAAAAGAATTGATTCCCTACCTTTATTTCCCAGTCTTCAGAATGAATTGTTATTTATTTGGGCATTCTCCAAAGCTGACCAATGAGTTTTGTTTCTTTGTTTTGTTTCTAAAGTTATGGATTTCAACACATTTGATGTGTTTCAGTCCATGGCATTTATTATCTTTATTGATGTTCAAATCATCCCATCTTTAAAGAGTGGTTCTTATTCAGGTTGGCTCTTGCATTCTTTCTGACATGATCTTAATAATCTTTGATAGAGTCCTTGCTTTCTAGTATGACAATATGTTCCAGGCCCATGTTTTATGCCCCAGACCTGGAATCAATCATTCTTGCAATTTATGTGTATGTAAATTTATATGTGTGTGTATATATATATATATATATATGTCATAAATATTTAAAGGTAAAATATCTTATGAGCTCATACTAATCTAACTATTCAAATTCAGGGATATTGGTTTTCATTTAACCTCACAGGCAATTTTACATCTGTATCTCTCTCTCTCTTTTTTTTTTTTTGTCTTTTTCCATGTCCGGCAACGGATCGCAACCCTCAGTGTCGCACCCGTACCGGACCGGGACCAGCAACGGGATCGCAACCCTCGGCGTTGCTCCCGCGCCTCGCTCAGCCAGTGAGTGGGAACTGGTCTGTATGTGGGATCCGAACCCTCGGCGGGAGCGCCGCCGCGCTTCCCAAGCGGCGCACTACAGCAGTGCGCCACCGGGCCGGCCCTGTATCTCTTTTTAATCATGGCAAAATCTCTGGTCTCAGAGACCTCAACATAATAACTCATTTGATTTATCCTACAATACAATCACAATCTCAAAATAATATGACTACTGAAAACAGGGTTTTTTTGTTTCTGTCATTAGTGTACATCCACTAAAGGATGTACACACAAATTACTGGGAATAGTTGCTCTGTGTTGTTAATGCCCACAAGTGAGTAAACAAGTTCACTTATTTCTAGAGATTATCTTATTTAAAACACATTAATATTACTTTATAATTATGTAAAATATCTACATGGTTCCAAAGTCAAATCTACAAAAGAAGATATATCTAAGGAAATCTAGCTTCTCTATCCCCCAACCCTATATCCTCCCTTTCCCTACAGGTGACTTTTTTCAGTTTTTTGATTTACCTTTCCATGGTTTGTTTGGTTTTTTTTCCTGCCACAAAACAAGTCTTAATACATTTAAAAAGACTAAGATTATAGAAAATATGTCCTCTGACCACAATAACAGGAGGAAATTTAGAAAATCACAAATGTGTGGAAATTAAACAGCACTCTCCTAAATAAACAATGGGTAAAAATAAAAATCACAGAGAAATTAGAGAGTACTTTGAGATAAAAGCCAAAGCACAACAGGATGCAGTGCTTAGAGGAAAAATTATTCTTGTAAACACCTATATTAAAAATAAGAAAAATCTCAAATCTGTAATGTAGACATTTACCTTAAAGAATAGAAAAAGAAGAGCAAACTAAATCAAAAGCAAATATAAGTAGGAAATAACACTGATTACAAACATAAATATGAAATAGGGAATTAAAAAACAATAGAGAAAATCAACAAAACCAGAAGTTGATTCTTTAAAATGATCAACTAAATGTGCAACAAACCTTTGTCTAAACTGACCAAGAAAAAAAGGGAGAAGACCAAAGTTACTAAAATCAGAAATAAAGTAGGGGCATTATCACATTTTAATTATGGGGGTTTTTTTTGTTTGTTTGTTTGTTTTGGTGGTGGTGGGAAGATTTAGTTTCTTTCTCTTTCTCATTTTCATTTTTGTTCTACTAGTGGGTTTTGTTCTTTCTTGTGTATTCATGGTAGTGATTACAGTTTTTCAGATTCCAGATGCAGGACTTCCTTGAGGATTTCTTGTAGGGCTGGGCATGTGGTGGTAAATTCCTACAGTTTTTGTTCGTCTGGAAAGTACACTATTTTTCCCTCATTTTTGAAGAATAGCCTTGCTGGATATAATATTCTTGGCTGGCAGTTTTTCTCTTTTTGTATTTTGAATATATCATCCCATTTTGTCCTGGCCTGTAGAATTTCTGTGAGAAGTCTGATATTAGTCTGATAGGGGCTCCCTTACAGGTGACTTGATGATTTTCTCTTGTTTCTTTTAAGATTCTCTCTGTCTCTGAGCTTTGCCAGTTTGACTATGTGTCTTGGAGAGGATATTTTTGGGTTGAATTTGTTTGGGGATCTTTGAGCCTCATGGATTTGAAGGTCCGTGTCTCTCCCTATACCTGGGAAGTTTTCCATTATTATTTCATTGAATAAGTTTTCCATGCCTTTTCCTTTCTCCTCCCCTTCTGGAACACCCATAATTTGAATGTTTGTGCACTTAAGGTTGTCTGCTAGTTCTCTTAGACTTTCTTCCTTTTAAAAATTCTTTTTAACTTTTTTTTTAACCCGCCCAGGTTATTTCTGAAAGACTACCTTCAAGATCAGAAATTCTTTCTTCTGCTTATTCCAGCCTGCTGCTTAAGCTATTGGTTGTGTTTTTTATTTCACTGAGTGAATCTTTCAGTTCCATGAGTTCTGGTACATTCTTTTTTTTTTTTTTTTTCCTAAAAGATGACCGGTAAGGGGATCTTAACCCTTGACTTGNCATATCTTCACAATGCTAAGTCCAGCAGAATGTAGACTCTGCTTCCCTGAAAGCTCCACCATCAACCATACAAAAAATAAAAGAACAATTCTCTGAATTATGCATTTTCCAATCAATGTTTAGATTTCCCCATTTTTCTTATAAACATTTATCCCCCTGTGCCTTATATTTCCTATAAATTGGTGGTTAGATCTACAGGCTTGACCAGAATCTATTATTATTGCTCAAGACTACTTCACGAGACTGCTATGTACTTCCACCATAATATACCTAACACCTAAGCTGTTTCTCTGTGATGTTAATAGTCTTTGATGATCACTGCCTAAACCCAATAATTCATTTGAGTTGCAAAATCGTGATATTGTAATTATATCATTACTTGCTTATTAGGTAGAAAACTTCTATAAAGTGAAACTTCTGCTTATCGAATCTTTTCCTCCTCCGAGGTACTGATTGTAAGGGGGAAAGGAAAAGAAAAAGAATTGATTCCCTACCTTTATTTCCCAGTCTTCAGAATGAATTGTTATTTATTTGGGCATTCTCCAAAGCTGACCAATGAGTTTTGTTTCTTTGTTTTGTTTCTAAAGTTATGGATTTCAACACATTTGATGTGTTTCAGTCCATGGCATTTATTATCTTTATTGATGTTCAAATCATCCCATCTTTAAAGAGTGGTTCTTATTCAGGTTGGC